GAAATGCAGGCGTGACTGCTGGCTCCTTTCCTTGTTTTCTCCTTTAATTTCTCTCTCAGTCCTAGAGACTCACCTTGGTCATTGGGACAGGAACTTTGGTTCCCCGAGTCAACATCCCCAACAGAATGTGGAAGTGTGGCTCTGTGTTTATCTAACGGATGGTGACATGCAGATCTAAGTTCAGGCCCTGCCGCTCAGAGGTGAGCCTTTGACTTGTCAGTTCCAGCCAGGCTGTTGTGAGGATCCTCCTGAGCACTAGAATTACAGGCGGGTCACCAGGCCTGCCCTCTATTTGCATAGGTTCTGGGAACCTGGATTGCAGGCCTCCCACTTGCATGGCAGGCACTTATCCACAGAGCCGGCTCCCCAGCCCTGACCCTGCCATCTGAAGGGAGCAGGAAGCAGAGAACTCTGGATGAAGCTAGAACTCGCTGTAGTCCTCTTGCTTTATTCATGACCCTGTGTCTGCCTGTTAGATCTTGCTTTCAAAAGGTCCCACAGCTTCCCAAAACAGTGCCGCCATAACCTTGTAGCAAGCCATTAGCCTGCCCGGTACTGCGGTTGCGGTTGTGGTTCTGTCACTGGCTTGTGGAGGCGTGCTCTCACAGGCTTCTGTTTATCCTGGACATTCCTGTAGAGGTACATGTCCTGTGCCAAGCTTCACACTGCACTCTGTGAGCATTCTTCATCTTTCTATTGTCCCACTTCAAGGGAGGGAATTTCAGCCAGGCTTGGTGGTTCGCCTGTAATCTCAGCACTTGGGAAAGTAAAGCAAGAGGATGGACTTGATCTTGAGGTCAGCCTGGGCTGTCTAATATCAAACCACCCAGAGCTGCATAAGAATACCCTAAAAACAATACAAACATTTCTGCTTTGCAATAAAAGAAACAATCAGAGAAGTCGGTTCTCATACTGAAAGTTTTCTCAGCCAGAGCCATGCCATGTCCAATTCTCACAAGTGTTCACTTGGTGTGCAGGAGATAAGAAACCACCTGCCCAAGAGGTGTGATGGGGCCAGCAAGATGGCTCGCTGGGGAAAGGCACTTGCCACCAAGCTCAAGGGCTCAAGTTTCATCCCAAGACTTCACATGGTAGAAGACAGTACTTCCTCTAAGGTGACCCAGTGTGTAGAATTCAGGAGAGCCTTTTGTCCCGTATGTGGACAGCAGCAGGCTGTTTGTCCGCTGGGACTGGAGGTCTGAACTGAATTAGAGATGAGGGAAGGAAAAAACATTTAGCCAACGTCAACACTAAGGTTAGCAGAGAAACCCTTTGCTCCTAGGAAGGCCAAAGCAAAATCATTTTAGAAAATGTGATATGGGCAGGAAAGATTGGATAGGTGTTAGGAAACGTGCGAATGCAAGGGTTACATTCGGGTTCACAAATCACACCACGAGATTGGTTCCACGTGAGAGGTTTATTAGGGGAAGGGGGGAGAGGGGAGCGGAGAAAGAGTAAGAGAGTAAGGAACAGAGAAAGGAAGAGAGAGAGAGAGAGGGAGAGAGAGAGGAAGAATCAGGGAGCGGAAGAGGAAGACTTGAGAGAGAGTTCCAGTTCTCTTATAGGGTGATCAAGGGCATGCGCAGGTAGTTCCAGGTGGTCAGGGTGTCTTCACAAATGCCTGATAACCGGTCTATGGGGCTGGCCATAGAAGTGCCTGCTTACTGATCTCAACAGTAGGGATGAGGAATGCTGGCAGGGGTCCCACCGAAATTGAAATAAAAGATGCCAATGATAATGCCAGGTACCTGCTATCACTGTGCACTCAGGAAATGTCACAGGCCCTTTGCTCACAGTGGGGCTTTACAGATGGTGCCTGGTGATTCCTCCAGGCCAGACTGACTGTTTCTCTGAGCATAAGAGGTCACCAATTTAGTAAAACACTTTCCACAGTAAACTTACATGTCCTAAACTTGCACAGTGAGGTTTGATCCCGTGGAGCTTCCATGAGTGGAATTTGGAGTGTATTTGTTCTAAGCTTAGCTTCTTCAGACTTCAGGTAGGGCATGTCCGGACCCATGCCAGGATCATTAGCCTGAAGCCTCGTTCACCCGGGTGCACACTGCTTCCATGAGCCACTTGGGACCTCTGAGGCCTCTTCAGGATCCATGTCTTAATTTAGAGCAGATAGAGGAACACAGGTCTGTTCTCCATTGCTGCCTGAGGGAGCTGGTAGTCGCTTCCCTCTGGGTTCTTACGTCTTCTCACTGAGAAACACTTCTTCCCCCTGTAAAGCACCACACTATTTTCAGGAAGTGTGTAGTTTTACCTACTCCTGAGTGTGTGTGTGTGTGTGTGTGTGTGTAGCACTGTGTTTCGCTGTCCAGTTATTACTATTTGAAGCACTGATTACAGAGAGACTCCTATTACTTTAAACTATTTGTTTAAATTGGTGTGCAAACCTAGGGTGGGGTTGTTAAACAGTTTACTTCCCAAATTATGGCTAGCAGTGGCATAACAGAGGATCCAAAACCAAGTTGATCATGTCCTTTTCAGAGTTCAAGGACACAATTGTCCCTTTTCCTCCCTTGTGCTCTCTCCCACCAAGGCTTTGTTTCCACCACTCCATCAAAAGCACTCTTGTCAATGACGTCTGCGTGTGAACACGTCTATTGACTAATTCTCATTTGCAAACTTACAAGCAGCATCTGGGTGAATGAGTTTTCTTCTTCACAGTTGGAATTTTCTTGATTTTCTGCTGCTGTCTCTCTGTCTCTCACCTTCCTGCCTCCTGAGCTTGCTCTCTGAACCCGCCTGCAGCTCCTCCATCAGCTGTCTCCACAACACTGACATCTTCTGCCTGTGGATCTGCAGCTCCAGTGCCTCCCTCGCTGCCTGTAGCCTACTCCATCAAGCCTGGGTGCCCACCAGAGTTTGCAAACTTAGTCTTAAACCAAACTTCTGCTCTTCAGCTCAGCTCACATGCAGTTGCTCAGCTTGTGGTCTTCCTTGTTTCAATGAGTGACAAATCCCTGCATCAGGTTGCTCCATGAAAACACTAACATTAAAAAAATTAATTCTTGGTGTTATTTATCTGCAATTTTCTCTTTATTTATTTGTGTATGTGTTCTCGCTCATGTGCATGGACACACACACATGCACACACACACACACATGCTAGGGATAGCACCCAGGTCCTTGTACATGCTAGGCAACTGCCCTACTGTTAATGGAATCTTGAATAAAAGCCTGGACTCTGGCAGTCCCAATAACGCTAGCTCTGCCATCATCCATCCGCAGTATACCAATTAAAGAGATGACAAGCACTAGTGAAAAATCATGTGGACATGCTGAGAGGAGGAAGAGATGAAGAGTGATGACACTCCTTTCCTAAGGCTATCTTCAGAGTGACTGACTGGACCTTTGGCTAGAGGGCTAGGGCTATACATAATGAAGCGGTCCTGGTGAGGGTGCAGTCCTGTCCCTCGTGGGTGAAGTGTCTCCTGCAGGGCGCTCCCAGGACTCCCAAGGAAATTTTAATTATTGGGGGTCCTCTGTTTCAGCGTCTCTAGAGTATCATCTCTGCTGCCAGGTAGTCACTTTATCAGTGAGCTACAGCGGCCAGCCCCCAGAGCCCCAGAATCCTTCTTGACCGCTCTTTCTCTCACTCACTTTACCAGATCCTTCAGTAAATTCTCTCAGATCATCTTGAAAGTACATCTAGAACAGTCCCAGCTTCTTCAGCCCAACTGAAGTCGCTCAGACAGCCGAGCCCCTCAGCAGCCCCTCTACCCAGCTGCCACAGCGACCGTCCTCAGAACACAAGGTGAACTTGTCCCTTGCTTAGATTGCTGGCACTCCTTTCTGTCTCAGTCAAGCTAACATCCCTGAGGCTGTCCAAGCTCCCTGCGCCATGGCACCTAGCTGCAGGCTTTCTGTCTGCTGCAGCTTCTCTAGCCTACCCTGGCAACCCAATGGCTCTCCTGTGAGGACACTATCCAAGCTGGGCCCAAGGAGCAAGCTCTGCCTTACACACTCAGGCCTTTTGTACTTGTAGCTTCTTGAAGCTTTGTCCCTCCCAGGTTCCCATGGCCTGCTTCTCAGCTTCTGGAGAGTTGACATCATTGTTGACATCATTGCTATGACAGAAGGCCATAAACAGGATAATTTGTAAAGAATATGGGTATTTCCAGCTCACCTTTCTGAAGCCTAAGAAGTTCAAGAATGGTAGAGTGTCCACATCTGGTCAAGTCCTTCTTGTTGTACAGAGAGGTGCTCTTTGTGGTCCTCCCCCGCGGGGGCCATTGTACAGGCAGCACATTTTCAGGTAGAGCAAGTATCCAATTGACTCTTTCTCCTGCTCCTGCTCTTCCTCCTTTTCCTCCATCTCCCCCTTTCTCCTTTTCTAATAAGACAAGTTCTTACTATGATGTAGCCTAGGCTTTTTTGGTCTTTAATTTGCCATGAGGCTAGTCCTGAACTCTCCATTCTCCTGCCTCTACCCCCCAAGTGTTGGGATATTAGATATGTGCTATCACACCTAGCTTCTCTTTGTCTTCAGAGCCTATGATGTCATCATCAGGCCCCTGCATCTCATCTAGTCCTATTGAGTTCAAATCACATTCCCAAATATCACGAGCATATGACATTGAGCGTCTAATAAATACATACTGAGGGCTACAGCTAACCCAGCGCTCCCTGGGCATACAGAACTCTCCTGCCCAAGCAAGCCGCTACATAAGCATCCTGCCTTCTTTGCATAGTGCTTAGCACAATACTTGAATGGGTCTGGTAGATTGGGTATGGGCTGTCTACCATCCAGATGGCACTACATATGGGTCCCACAAGTCTGTACAATGCTTCACTTTCCAATGTATGCCCAGGGCATAGGATGGCTTGGCTCCTCACCCTGCCATCAGAATGACAGACTCAGAGGTGAGGCAGAGCCAGCATTTGGTGTACACTTCTCTACCATCCAGGTTTCATGGTAGGAATAACACTCCTGAAATCATCATGACAGTGCTCTGCCGAGATCTTGACCTCTCTGTGTCTCTTTCCAGGCCCATGGCTCTCCCAGGCTGTGAGAAGGTTTTGCTCTGACCACAGTCCCCGGCTGCTGTGCCAGTCTCTCCAGTCCCCTGTTCTACCCTGAGGCCCTTGGCTCCGAGTCACCATGGGCAGCGTCAGCAGCCTTATCTCGGGCCACAGTTTCCACAGCAAGCACTGCCGTGCTTCACAGTACAAGCTGCGTAAATCCTCGCACCTCAAGAAGCTCAATCGCTACTCGGATGGGTTGCTGAGGTTTGGCTTCTCCCAGGACTCAGGGCGTGGCAAGTCCAGCTCCAAAATGGGAAAGAGCGAAGACTTCTTCTATATCAAAGTCAGCCAGAAGGCCCGAGGCTCCCACCGCCCAGACTACACAGCCCTGTCCAGTGGGGATATGGGGGCCCAGGCCGGGGTAGATTTTGACCCAGCCACCCCACCGAAGCTCATGCCCTTCTCCAATCAGCTGGAAATGGTAAGTGAGGGTCTTTGACAAAGGTGTTTGAGGAGAAAAGGGGAGGGGATTTGGGACATGAGGAGAAGTGTAGATGAATACCCCCATGACCAAGCATTTAGATCTCCCAGAAGCCAGATCAACAGTGGTAAGAGTGGAAGTGTTCAGCCTCGCTGCAGAAATCAAGTCTATCCCCTAACCAGAAATCGTAGGTTTTTCCTGCAGCAAAGGGCACAGGGGCAATTCAAACATTTCTGAACTTTGTTGGGACATGACCTGGGTGGTTCAGGTAGGCCAAATGGCAGCAAGTTCACAGGCCAGGGAAGAAGACAGGCTGTAACGCCCTGGAAGGGTGGGCAGGAAGATGCGGGTACTCTCTTAGGACAGTAAGGAGTTAGCATTCTCCCCCGCATCTCTGCCCTGCCTGGCGTTTGGTTTCTGTCACTGCTGGCTAGAGAAGGGCCCTTGGATTTCGTTCTCATCAAAGAGCAAGGACGCCCGCAAAGAGTATTCAGAAATCCAGCTCCTCCAACAGTTCAGGCTCTCTCAAGCCTCACTAGTGCACACTGGCAACAGGTCACCTATCCCGTGTCCATGTCCCCTCTGTGTCAGAGTCCATGGCTCTAAAGCACAGTTAATCACTGCTGACCTAGAATGCTTGTGAACAGGAGTGCCAGAGATTTCAGGGTTGTTTTCTTTCTGTTACGTACAATGATACATCTAAGTGCAGCAATCATTTATGTTTTGTGTATACTTGACACAAAATTTATGCACAAAATAAGATCTCCTAATGTGTGAATTTTTCTTGTCTGGACTCAAACTGTTGTAGATTCTGGAGCATTTCAGATTGGAGATTTAGGACCTGGAATGCTCTAGAATAAGAAAGATGGCTGTGTTTTCACAAAGTTTTCTAAACAAAGGCCTTGTTTCCCTTGTATTGAGGGAAACTGCAAGCTTCAGAAAGGATTGCTATACCAAATGGTCTTCCAACCTGGACTGCAAGTACTGAGTGGGGTACAGTCCTGTGCTAGGCCCAGTGAAAGAGGCAGAGGGGAAGGAAGTGAGGAGCTCATGCAGCCCATTGTCCTTACGGAACCGTACCTTAGTCCTCACCCAACCTCTCTAGAGAGCTGAGACCAGGTGACAGCGACTGTTAGGAGAGTCAGTGCCTGCGCCATCAGTGAAGACATTCTTAGGTACAGAGGTAGTGTGAGTGAGTGTGAGTGTGTGGCTAATGACAAGGTGGATGGTGGCCTCATGAGGGTGGCACATGTACACTCACACACATATTGAGAAAAGGTGAGATGAGTGTGGCAGGGACACTCACGTCTGTGCCGACCTTTGCTTCCCCAGAGTTCAGACAAGGGAGCAGTGAGGCCCACTGCCTTCAAGCCTGTGCTGCCACGGTCAGGAGCCATCCTCCACTCTTCACCTGAGAACAGCAGCCACCAGCTTCACCCCATGGCTCCGGATAAGCCCAAGGAGCAGGAGCTGAAGCCAGGCCTGTGCTCGGGGGCACTGTCTGACTCAGGCCGGAACTCCATGTCCAGCCTGCCCACCCATAGCACCACCAGCAGCTACCAGCTGGATCCTCTGGTCACCCCCGTGGGGCCGACGAGCCGTTTTGGGGGCTCAGCACACAACATCACACAAGGCATAGTCCTTCAGGACAGTAATATGATGAGCCTGAAGGCTCTGTCCTTCTCTGATGGGGGCAGCAAGCTGGCTCACGCCGGCAAGGTAGACAAGGGCTCCTCGTGTGTGCGCTCCCCACTCTCCACGGATGAGTGTGCCATCCAGGAGCTGGAGCAGAAGCTGCTGCAGAGGGAGAGCGCGCTACAGAAGCTGCAGCGCAGTTTCGATGAGAAGGAGTTTGCGTCTGGCCAGGTGTTTGAGGAGCGGCCGCGGCGCAGCAGGGACGAGCTGGAGTGCCCGGAACCTAAGAGCAAGCTGAAGCCAGCCTCCCAGAAGAGCCAGCGGGCGCAGCAGGTGCTGCAGCTCCAGGTGCTGCAGCTGCAGCAGGAGAAACGGCAGCTGCGGCAGGAGCTGGAGAGCCTAATGAAGGAGCAGGACCTGCTGGAGACCAAGCTGAGGTCCTATGAGCGGGAGAAGACCAGCTTCGCCCCTGCACTGGAGGAGACCCAGTGGGAGGTAAGACCCATAGTCTTGCCAGGGCGTTGCTGACAGCCGCTGTATCAGTGCTGGCGGAGCAGCATCCACACTGAGTGCTCAGGCCAATGCTGCTGAAGAGCCAGCTTTCTGACCAGGAAGGGATTCCTGAGTGAGCTAGCATGGGGGACGCTCTTACGTTGTCGCTCTTTCCATCACTGTATCGGTCCTTTTGGCCCCAGTCACTGAACTTAGTAGCCTGGTGTTTGGTGGGAAAGCCAGAACACAGACAAGGAGGCCAGCCAGGCTACCCGAGGGCTGAGTCCTCCTGTGTTTGTCTGGTCTGAGGGCCAAGAGAGTGGATGGGTCTGTGTGGCGCTTTGGAGGAGAAGGCCCTAACTACCGCCATTAGTGGTAGGTCTCAATGACGGCATTGCTCCTTCTTGCTGAGGTGTAAGTGGAAATTCTACTTGATCAGCTGAGATTTAAACACAGGGCGGACAAATGCAGGCTCACTCACACTTTGGGGAGTTACCTTCGTTGTTGTTAACCTCCCATAGCAAAGCTGTGTGCCGGTTTCCTCCATTACAGACCGAAATACTGGAACATGCCCGCTTCACAGTGTGGTTATAAGGATTAGACGGAAAACATGGCACTTCCTAAATTCTCTAAATCAAATGGGTTTATGACAGTATTTCTGTCACAATTTATTACTTTCTTTTTATTGTTTTTGCTAAGAATCCTGACTAGCCACGGTAGGATCAAGATGCAATGTCCAGCATAGGTTTTGCTATTTTGTTTGGTTTGGTTTCATTTGGTGCTGGGGTTTAAACCGAGGGCCTCACATCTGCTAGGAAAGCACTCCCATCACTGCTGTGTTTCCTCAGTCCTTCAGTCACTCTGGAAGGAGCCATGTGAGCCTGGCCTTGCTGGAGAGCCAGGGCCCCACGTGTACCCTGCCAGTAGGATAGCGGCTTTTTCTCCAAGCAACCCCTGCGGCCCGGCAGGAAGGGAGGGTGTGTGCACTCCAGAGAACGGTGTAAGGAAGGATAGCAGTTGTTCTATCTGGATGGATTAGCGTCCTCCTGCAGGGGATGGTCAACCCTCAGCTGACTGCCTGGAGCTTCCTGCCTCACAGTGAAGGAACAGGTAGTCACAAGCAGGGTGAAGAAAGAGACCCTTGGTGCATGATAAGCAGCAAGTATTGTTCTCTGTCATCCATCCTTATGGTCCAGTCTGGAGCTAAGATGGACATTGCTGTGACCTTGTTCCCACCTCTGCTAGTCAGGATTCTTAGCAAAACAATAAAAAAGTAAGTAATAATAATGACAGAAATATTGTCATATAAACCCATTTAATTTACAGAGAATTTAGAAAGTGCTATATTTTTACATTGAATCCTTATAGATCTAAGAAAGTGGACCAAAAGTTCACATTTTTAATATTTATTGCAAGGGGGGAGGGCATGAACCTGCTGAAGCCCAAATGTAGACTTTCATGTGGGTTTCAAGGATGGAACTCAGCTCATCAGGGTTGGAGACAAATGTGTTACCCCTGTGAGCCCTTTCATCCTCACCATCCCAAGAGGTCACTGGTTTTTTTTCTTTGTTTTTTTGTTTTTTTCTTTTTGAGATGGGCATTCTCTGTGTAGCCTTGGCTATCCTAGACTCACTTTGTAGACCAGGCTGGCCTCAAACTCCCAGAGATCCACCGGCCTCTGCCTCCCTGGGATTACAGACATGCACCGCCAGAGTTGACACCTGTAATTGCTTGTTGCCTCCAGGCTGCCGTATAAGTGACGCAATCTGGCTTTACAGCCTGTGCGTTAATGTGACTGTCCTAACCCTCCATCAAACGAGTGTAGGCTTGGTGTGTTACTCAGGGTTTTTTTTTTTTTTTGCGGGGAGGGTCATCGTAACAAAATGCACAGATATGCAGTTTACAAAGAGGAAAGGTTCATTCTGACACAGTATTGGAGGTTTCAGTGGGCCAACAGACCCTGCTGCTTTGGGCCTGTGAAGAAGTGGGGTATCGTGGTGGCCACGCGATTATCACCTTAGGGACAAGAAGCAAAGGAGAGAACAAAGCAGCGTCCAGGATCCCACAATCCCCTTCAGGGGCCAGTGACCTAACCACCTTCCACTAGCCCTTACTTCTTAGAAGTTCCACTCCCTCACAGTGTTACCACACTGGAAAACTTTAACATGTGGGCTTTGGGAGACATTCAAGGTCTGGACTCAGCCTTGTCAGAAAATTCTGGGCTCTGGCTGTGCATGGAGTTGAGGCTATGTGTTCTCTGCATTGGTCAGTCTTTCATTGGCAGCAAAGGGGGAGCTTTACCAGGAGAGGGAAAGAGGAAATATGGGGTGTTGGCCTCTAGTTTTGTTCCAAGAGTCTATTTTGTTTGTTTGTTTGTGGTAGGGATCATATACACTTTTTAAAATTTTTTTATTAAATTTAATTAAAAAAAAAAACCCTTTTTCTTTTCTTCCTGCTTTCTTTGTTTTTTAATCAGAGGTGTGGAGAGGGATAGGAGACAGGCTTGGTATGTTTAGGCTGGCGTGTATCACCACTCCAAACCATATCACGACCCCAAGTAATACTTATGGACCCCAAAGAGCCAAGACCCCAGAGACAAAGTGACCTGACGCCATGTGCTCTTGACCCATCTTTGATAGCCAATGGGGTGCTGGAATGGCAGAGAAGCCAAGATGGAGTTGAGGGAGGCAGTTGGAAATGCGTGCAAGTCAAGCAGGCTGTCTGCAGCACAAGGACTGTGTTCGAGGCACCCTGTCAGGAGCAGGCCCAACCCTTCAGGAAGCAGAAAGATATCATCTCGGTGAGGGTAACGCCAATCACCTCTGGTACTGTTTCTCACCCTTTCTCACCCCACCCTTGCCAGGTGTGCCAGAAGTCGGGTGAGATCTCTCTTCTGAAGCAACAGCTCAAAGAGTCCCAGATAGAGGTGAACACCAAGGCCAGCGAGATCCTCAGTCTGAAAGCGCAGCTGAAGGACACCCGGGGCAAGCTGGAGGGAATGGAGTTGAAGACACAGGACTTGGAGAGTGCCCTGCGCACCAAGGGGATGGAGCTGGAGGTCTGTGAGAACGAACTGCAGCGCAAGAAGAACGAGGCAGAGCTGCTGAGGGAGAAGGTGAACCTTTTAGAGCAGGAGCTGCTGGAGCTTCGGGCCCAGGCTGCCCTGCATCGAGATGTTGTGTCCCTGGGGCCCCCAGGGGTTGGGGCCACTTTCTCAGAGGACATCCCTGCTCTGCAGCGGGAGCTGGAGCGGCTGCGCGCTGAGCTGAAGGAGGAGAGGCAAGGCCACGACCAGATGTCCTCAGGCTTCCAGCACGAGCGGCTGGTGTGGAAAGAAGAGAAGGAGAAAGTGATCCAGTACCAAAAGCAGCTGCAACAGAGCTACCTGGCCATGTACCAGCGCAACCAGCGTCTAGAGAAGGCCCTGCAGCAGCTGGCCCATGGGGACAGTGCTGGGGAGCCCTTTGAGATTGACCTGGCCGGGGCTGACATCCCCTATGAGGACATCATAGCCACTGAGATCTGAGGGGCTACCTGGGGGATGGAGGGCTGGGGACTGGATCCCAGAAGCATGGAGGGCGGAGCCTATTCAGAGGCATTTTAAGCCCCCCTGGGAGAAGCCACCTCTTGGGCCCAGGCTCAGGAGTCCCCAGTGGTGGGAGGGGTCACCACATAGCCTTTCCTCCCCTCCTGCCTTTTTCAGCCTAATGAACCCTGCTGCTTATTAGAGCTTCGTCTCTGAACCCCACACTCTTCTAGAGATGTGTTCAGGGAGCTTTCTGTGCTGGTTGAGGTTCCCCTCAACTTTGGCCTTGTTCATAGTGAGAAAGGCACTCCACCAGGGAAGGGAGTAACTGCCATACAGGCCAAACGCCACCCAAGGACCGAACCATCTTACCTGTCATCCCTAAATCCCTGTCATCCCCTGGGCATATTAGGATGCTTTGGGGATAGAAAGAAGCCATGAGTAACCGAAAGCCTTGGGCACTGTCTTCATTGCAGCCTGGACTTCTCTGTCTGTGGAGGTTGGAGGGCTCGGGTTTCCACAGAGTTCAGCAAGTCATTTGAGGAAGGCGTGGAGGGACAGTCCACCATTACAGAGCCTTCACAGGTCTTAAGAGGTCTGAGTGGGGTGTGAAGAGAGAGAACCAAGGCAGACAGCAGAGTCAAGGAGTCAAGTCTGAGATGAGCTGCAGAGCCCTGTTGACCTCAGTGGTCACTTTTTAAAGCCATAGTCATTAGGGTCCCGGGTGGGGTGCAGGGAAATGCTATGAAGCATAGATTGCCAGCTGTTCCAGGGGAGCCTCCTCATTGGTCCAGCGGAGGCAAAAGCAGGGGCTTCCCTGAATAGTTCAGTTAGCCAGCAGCCAATCCCAAAGGGTTTTCTTTCCTGAACATCAGGCTCTTGTTTGGATGCATGATAGCCCATCCGCATAGTTAGTGCGCACGGGAGCTGGACGGTAGCCTCCCTTGCCTGTAGCCAAGTAAGCAGCATTGCTTGCCCTCCAGCACCTTCACCATTCTGTTCTGAGTGTGCATAGGCTGGGAAGGTGCAGCAGAGGGCTGCAGTCCAGGCAGTGGAGAGGCGGGCGCGCCCAGAGCCTTCTGAGTACCCCAGACCGCCCACTTTCCTCCCTCTATGCGGAACCCCGAAGTGTAAAGAATCAGCATAGACAGCAAGCAGCAAGTGAACCCGTGGCAGCCTGAAGACACCCAGAGCTAGGGGCAGGGGCAAGTACAATTGCTTCATTCAAGGAATTATTTTTTTTCTTGCCTCCCCCCTTCCATTCTGTATTTCCCAAAGCAAGCCAGATCAAGCAGGCAGCCAGGCTGCTCCATATTCTATTTTTGGCTGTTACCACAGCTGTTGTTGGTAGGATACCCAGCCCTTGCTGAATTCCTGAGCCATGTGCTTGCCTGGTGGGCAGAATCCAGGGTTTAGGAGATGTAAGTGAGGGTCTGGGTGCTTGGCAGTCCAGGAACCAACCCGAGTTGAGTTCGACCTCCCTAATGCTCGCCCATGGACCCAGCCATAGTGACCTTGTCCTCCCTTGCTAGTGTCTGCAGGCTAGGAACCTCCCCTGCTGATGGCACTGCTTCCCATTCCTGGGGTTCTGCTGGGCCTCTCCTACTACTGACTTTCAGTGACACACTGTTCCCTGTTCTACCACAGCCAGCGGTCACATGCTCAATTTAAATCTGGAATCTACAGGCCAAAGATGACAACCCCACTTGCAGGGTCATACCCTCCACTGAGCACAGGTCACAGCCCAGTTAAACAAGTTCATGGCCCTCAGTCTTTCGTTTTCTACCAGTCCGTGCCTTGTTCGACTTGTTCTTCCCACCCAGACTGTCCAAAAGAGGGAAAGCAAGACGGGTTAGCTTTCCTTCCCCAGATTGGAGGACTCCATCTTCTGAAAGAACAGCCAGGAGCCCAGTGCTGGGCCATGGAGTTCTTGCCCAGGAAGAAGCGAGTGCCATGCCTGGGGCCGGCAATCAAGCACAAAGCTTGCACTCTGGATCCTTATGGGGTGCCCTCTACACACAGGGGTTCTTTCTGCTCAAGTCGCTGGTGGCCCTGCCTCAGTTTATCTTTGAGACCTGTGCCTGGGACTTGTCCAACAATCAAGATGGCAGATGCTCTCTCAAAACTGCTACCATCCCCAGATCCCAAGGTAGTTTCAAGATGCAACCGTACTGTAACCTAGTAACCTTGCCTTCGCGTGGGCTTTCTTTCCTTCTCAGTCCTGAAGCCTTCTATTTTGTGGTCCGTGCCTATGTCAGAAGGCTCAGGTTCAACAGTGACTGAGCAGGGACACGGGGGTGACAAGTAGCCCTCCATGCTTTGTCTCTCAGAGCCATACTGTCCTCCAGAGGTTTGGAAATGTTGCTGCTTGCTGAGGAAGAACACCAGCTAGCACAAGGAAGGGTCTCGTAGTGCCCTGGCCCCCATGGACTCTCTCCTTTCTCGGTTCTGTCTTGCTCAGTTCTCTAGGTGCGCTTGAGCTTTAGCAGGGGGACGTCTGTGGGTCTTGCTGATCCTCTGTGTCTGGCCCCAGCCTGGGTTGTGTCTCAGGTGAGAGAGATGTTGAAAGGAGAGCCAGGCTGGGCCAGTGATTTCTCCAGCTCTTCTCAGATGCCACACAGCAGGCCTCAGCACCCCTAACTGGAGCCTGTTTTCCCCTTTTGACCACTCCGGAGCCCTTGGCGGAGGCTGGCTTCAGATGGGCTGGCATTTAGAAGACTATGTACATAGTTGTTTTTCTCTTCCTTGTTTCTGGTTTGCTATGCTCTTGATGGCTTCATTTTGTTTTATTTTTGAAGTTCTATGTTGGCTCTATAAACTATTTCTGGTAATTTTATGTTTTTATTTATGAATAAAGAATGCCATTTCTCATGTCTTCACAGTTCCTTTTGTCTCTTTGAGCTAATCTCTGCTCCTCTGCTATGATGTGGCTGGCAACTCATGGTGGCCTCTCTTTTTGGAAACAGAAAAGCAGCATCTCTTTGTGCCTGCCGTGGGCCACACTTAGAGGCCTTGAGGGAGGCAGCTCTGTGACCTGGGGCACCGTGCCCTTACCAGTCTGGTGATCTTATTTGTGACATGGGTCTTGGGCTGACCCAGAAGGAGGAGGGAAGGGACCAGGGGACAGTGGCTTCAAAAGCATGCCCCTTCCCAAACCCAGCCTCTCAGCCCCCCGATCCACCAGCTGCTCTCCTCATAGCCAGTCTTTGGCCCACTGCATATGGCTTTTTGGCAAGGGACTAAAGTAACTATTGTTGCCACTCCTCCAGGCCCCTAGGTGGAATGCTGTCACCACAACTACCATCTGTCCTGCCTGCCTGGTTCACCTTGAGGGGCATTCTCTGTTTTGGGTTCAGATCTTAAGCCCCAAAGGTAGCCACTATGGTAACAGACAAAGATAACACACACAGAATTAAAGGCCCATGGACATAAAGCTGCCTCTGGGACAGGAAGGTCAGGAGAAGCTGATGTTAGGGAAGGTGGCCAGGTCTTCTTCCTAGCTGCAGCTAGGCTTGTGCTATTCATAATAGCACAAACATAATACCCAAACAGGACACCCTGGATGCTTGGCCCCTCCTCTCCCTTCGCAGGTAGGCCCAGGGGAGTCAGGCAGGAGAGCCATGCTGCCAACTTTAGCTCAGAAGTCTTGGCAGCTTCCACTTTAACATTCTTGGGAGCCCTGAGCTGCAAGGTCAGAAGGTTCTCATTCTGCCAGTGCAAGAAAGTCACTTATCCCAGCATGCCAGCTAGGACTACCCAGGACCCAGCCAAAGCCATATGCAGCAGGGATTTCTTTAGAGACCCTGCCAGCATCCTGACCCCCAGAACCATGACATTTAAAAAAAAATTTTTTTTTAAGGTTTATTTCTTTTCACAGACAGAGGCATCGCTCTGCCAAGACTGTCCCACTGTAGGTGGGGAGTATTGTCTATACCACCTCCTCATCATATGCTGATTCAAACAAGCAGGGGGAGGGGAGGCAGAGACAGAGACAGAGAGAAGCAGCTCAGTCCTCAGCCGCCACCAGGCTGCGCAGACAGCACAAAGTTTTGGCAGCTATCTTTGCCCAAATGTCTTAGAGTCTGCATACCATGTGTGAGGAGGGAGGAAGACTGGTCCTGACCCCTTCTGAGTATCTTCAGCAGCACATCCTGACTCAGTTATGTCTGGAAGGCTACGCTGTTCCCAACTTTCTCCCTAACTCAGGTGTTGAGTGCTGGGATCAAAGGCACGTGCCAGACCACTCCCAGCACACAGCCTGGTTTACACAGGGAGGACTATAGAGAGAGAGCCTGTCTCAAAAACCAACCAAACAAAACAATCCTTTCTTTTTAGAGAGTTTACATTCTCCAAGCAAACAGCTTTTACAAGGGCCACAAGAGCAGGGCGGTACATGCCAGCTGTGTAGACAGGCATGTGTCTGAAGGAGATGTGGCAAGGCCACTGGTACAGAAAAAAGAAAATCTCAGCTTGCCTCGCGCCTTAAGCCCTTTCTCATGAGAATCTCTTGTCTGGGAGACTCCGTGGACAGCTTACTGAGGAGACTTGCAGTCTCCTCTGACTGCTGTGCCCATCCCCAATCTCCACCGGAGTAACCTTACCTGCCTTCCATCTAAAACAAGGTCCATCACTTCCTGATAGCCTTTGGAAAGCTTCAAGCATTAATTATGTTGTTCTTCCATGCATGAAAGCAGAAGATTTGTGAAGTGGTGTGATTCCTGCCAGGATGTTGAAGTCAACACAGATTCCTTGCTTCTTTCTAGATAAGTAAATTTTAAAAAATAAAATAATCAGTGCTGGGAATGAAACCCAGGGCCTTGCACATGCTAGGCTAGGGCTCCAGCCCTGAGATTTACCCCACCTTAGCTGGGTAATTTCACAAGGAAATGGTGAGCTTCAACAAATTTACATATTGTTATTGTTTGCTTGGGGAGGCATGAACCACAGAGGCAGAAGTTCATTCAGCCTATTGAATGATCCATCCTTGCCGCATGCACAGCTGTTTTACCAGCTTTGCCTTGTACTCTTTCATCTTCCCTACCTAGTCAGATCCAGAATCCTGCAGGTTCTACCAAATCCTTAAAGCTCATCCCCTCCTCTTCCTACATCTGTTGGTCAGAGGTTAGCAACGAGTCAAAGAACATTCTGAATATCCTGGACACTTGGAAACATAGCCCTTTCTCTTTAGTAGCTACAAAAACAAGGCCCAGATACCAGATGCCTGGCTGGTTAACTGTAGACCTGGTTACCTTGACCTCATGACTGACCCCACTTGTTCCCTGCCCCCTCTCTAGGCGCATTAACCCATGACTGCTAACAGGTGTGTACATCCCATCATGCCTTTTTTCTTTTCAGAACCTTCAGTGACTCCCACTGATCTCGGAAGTTCAGCCCCTCCTAGCAGTCTCCAAGATCTGCCTGTTTTCTGGATCTCACATGCATCACAGTAAACAACCATGGGGGTCAGAAGGAACTCTAAAAGAAATTTAATCAACCCTGAGGGATTTCTTTTAATCCCCATCCAAAAGAGCACAGGCTGCCCTGCAAAATCTGGGTTGGCTAAGTTCACCCCCAGACTTCCCTGGTGCTGGGCAGTTTGGCACAAGTTACTTAACCTCTCTGTGACTTACAGGGTAGTTGGACGATTAAATGTGAGAAATGTTCTCTAAAGTATCACTAAAAATGTCATCACCACCTCAGCTGAGTGTTCGTATAACCATTGCTGTTTGTTGGTTTTACAGCACTGTTTCAGGCCCTTATGAATTCCTGCTGCACAGCTCCCTAGGGTGCTGAATCTCTGGCCTGTGAGGACAGCTATTCTTGTCTCCAGTGCCCTGCAGTCAGCCCCCGCCCCACCCCCTCTCTCCTCAATTCTAGAAGACTGGCTTGTTGGCCCTCTGAGTGAGAGGGCACAGGTGGAAGAAGAAAGGAACAAAGGGATTTGCTTGGGGTGGAACAGCCTGGGACCTTGAGTACCAAGGGAGACAGTGGGAACCCTCACTCATGCCCTGAGCACAGCTCCCATCCCTGCTCTGCTCTCTTAGCTCCATCACACAGTGCCAGCCTGAGCTGGCCCCACATGCCCACACACAAACGCATGTGCTCCACTTACCCCAGTCGCGGCTAATTGAGAGCTAAGAAGGCTCATGACAGAATTTGGTTGGTTGGTTGGTTTGGCTTTCATAATGTTTTTATTGATTATTTGGGATTCTAACATCATGAAACCCCCCAAGTTTGCTTACTTCCTAGTTCTCTGCCCCCCTACCCTGTCACCTCCCCTGCCACTCCCCCCAAAAAAAAAGAATAAGAAAAATGAGGGGGACTCCAATTTGTATCACCCATATACTCACTGGAGCATGGTCAAATTGCCGGTGGCCAGCCTTAAAGAAAACTGTCCTTCCCTACCCACATCCTCGAGAGAAGCCGTCATTGTGAAGAGCTACACCCCTAGCATCCTTAGGACAAATTTTAAGAGTCCTCTTTGGTGGCTTTCTGTCTAGGCTGCTGCCTTTTTGGAGGGGTTGGGTTGGGGTAGAGATTGTCATGACAGAATTTTTTTCGTGGGGTGGGGATTTTTGAGACAGAGTTTCTCTAAGTAACTGGCTGCCTTGTATGTTATGATATATTTAAAAAGCCGCACATACAACAGATCTGATATGAAAGAGTTTTATTTGGGGGAAGAGAAGTAGAAGAGAGTTAGGGCCTGAGTGAGCCATGAGGGCAGAAAGACAGAGAGAGACAGAAGGACAGAGATGGGGAAAAGGGGTGCCCTGGCAGAGAAACAAAAGCAGAGAGAGCATGAGAGTGATAAAGTGACAGGTTGGTCCTTTTATATCTGGTGTGAAGCCGAACTGCCTCTGCCAAGTGCATCTGCCACACACCTGGTAGGCGATACTTGATGACATGATGATATCATAGGTTCTGTGGCAACCTATATATGCTAACACTGGACTCCCTTTGTAGACCAGGCAGAGATCTGCCTGCCTCTGCCCCTGAGTGCTGGGGTTAAAGGCATGTCAAATTCCTCATTCCAAAAATAACAGGGCAATGTACCTGCATGGCTTGTCACTCAGGCGGCACCCTCTTGGGCTACAGGGTCACATAAAGTGGAATACATAGCCAGGGGTTCGGAATCCAGGCGTCTGCTTGTTCCCAGCAGGAACTCTCTAGTGAGTTTCTCTCTAGCGGGGGCCACTGTTACATTCACCAAAAGAGATGATAAATTCTGTCTGGCTGAGGCCGGGCATAGCCCAAGCTGCTCACTTGCTTTCATGCTCCTGTCTGTCCATTTTCCATGTGAAGAGAGGTCAGGTGACCTTGTTGATGGGGTCCTTTCGTTGAGCCACAGCTCCTGGCCTTGCTGGTCAATAGAGTTGGGCATGTGCACAGTGAGGGAGGGGAGCAGACTGTAAAGGCAATGTCCAACAATGGGCAAGGCCACTTAGTCCTCCACCTCCCCCTATACTCACTGGCGTGATCTAAGTGTTCCTGAGTCATGATCTTCTGAGTCCAAAAAACACCACACTGGGGCTAGGGTTTTGACTCGCTCTGCTGGGCTTTCATCTCCACTCTCTTGGAGGTACAAGCTACCACAAGAAGGAACCCCAAGCTCCCGCTCTGTAGACAATGAAGGCCGGGCTCATTGTGCACGAAGCGCCTCATACACTAGCAACCCCAACAGCAGGGTCAGACAGGTCCTAGCGCTACTCTGTGAAGACGAATGCTTTTCAGGGAAATGTTGGCTCTGGTGCCTACCTGGCTGGGCCCCAGACATCAACTTAGCAAGCAGAAGGGGCCACATCCATGCCAACTGGCCAGCCTTGAATGTGAGCTGGCATCACAGAGAGACACACAAGCTATAGAGA